AATGCCTTGTGGAGTAGAAATCTGGATTTGGCCATCTCATTTCAGACACTGGAGCACGCTCTTCCTGTCTCAGTGCTCCTCACTTTTATTTATCATTTCACTGCAAGCTCAGCCTGAAACCATCTCTCCCTCCCAGTGGCATTCCAGTTCAGTTCAAACTGTTTTTCTCTGTGCAAATGCTTTTCCCTTCTGTGTGCGTTTAGATATTTAGAGCGTGCTTCCCTTCCAATTTGTGCTGTCAGCCCTGCATTTGCTCGACCCTCAGGGGCCTTCATACTGTACAAATACTGCAGATCCAATGAAAGGAAGCAGAGCAAAACGAAAACTTCCTGAGGGATGAAATCAGAAAGTGAAAAGAAGTCCAACAAGTACAGTTATAGGAACGGAAGCTATTATAGCAACAGTTTTTCTTAAGAAGATGTAAAACCATTGCTGCCCATTCATCTGAGAGGCTTATAATTCCACTAAAATATTTAAATCCCAGAATGACATCAATATGTGGCATTGATTAAAGTGGGACTGATTGAACAAATGAACAATAGGCGATCATAGTTTGTCCCGAAATTATTTGCGCCTTGCCTGGAGCACCTCCTTTTTCTAGGATTATAAGTTTTATTTGTATTTCAGACTTTGGTCCAACTTTGTCAGTGAGGAATGTATAATCCTGGCAAATATTACCCTGAGAATTTATTGTGTATAGTACAGTTTATTTCATTTCCAAAACCTAAAAGGAGTCTAGAGAAATATAAAAGACGGATGAAGGGCCTTTAGCCAACAAACCTTAAGACTCTCTGAATCAGTGAACAAAGTTACTGTAGAGTATCATAATTATATTTTATTCTTGTTCACTCTAGTTACAGTCATTTTTCAATGCAAAATCTCTTGGCAAAGTAATAATTTTACAGGGATTTGATTAAAAATAATCATCCACAGCCTGATTCTATAAATTATAAAAAATATAGTTTGCATTTTTAAGTTCTCATTTAGATCCTACTGTATGTTTAGTAAATACTCACCAGCCAGCCTCATTGCTTGGGATAAATTTATGTTTGTATGTGTCTGCCTATCCCCCTATCATAAAAAGCATGAACATAATATCATAGTTTCCTTTATCATGGCTTATAAGAGAAAGGGTGTTTTTAATTACAGGGTGAAGATTTCTGATAGTAAAATGTCTGCATCCGGCAAAATGCAAGTATTCGAGTAAGACCACATAAAACAATAAAGCCAGCTCAATAATCCGAGCTGGATCCAAATATTTTATTTTATTTTGATAATTTTAAAACTTGCAGAAAGCCTTGAAGGTTTTTAATAAAATTGAAGAGCTTAAGCTGTACATTTCTTGCCTAGACTGCATGCTGCTGCTTGGATTCTACCCCTTCTCCATCTATAAGTCGACTCCTCTGGAGCCCTTTAAGGGTGCCCAGGCCCCTGGGGGACTTTCAGCTTGATCTTCATGAATGCTTCAAGCAGCATGTGCCGATCAAGCAAAACAGTCAAACTTCATGTGAAAAACTAACTTTTTTTTTAATTGCACAAATTCACAAATTATATGAACATTAAAGTAATCTCTTACAAATGTTGCAGCCTGCGCTTAGGGCAGAGAGCAGATGATAAAGCTTGGCGTTTGGTTGTTGACCTGCTTGCAAGAAACTTTTTTTTAGCCAAAAAGGATTTAAAAGGACTAAACTATATAAATGACAATTTCCTGGGTGCTGGAGAAACTTCTACTGACCTCAGTTTGGGAATTAAAAGAGGAAGGACACCAGGAATTTGGCTATATTTTGGTAAAGAATGTCTGGACTCAGTAATAGATGTCATGAGTTTAGGTGTGAATTGGTATATCTCAGTACATGTGAAACAGGATGACAAAGAATTTATTATCCTAAATGTCTATTCTGCATATGAATGTCATCATAATGAAGAAGAATACCTTAGTAAACTTGGATATATTAGCTTTTTTATACCAAATGAGAAGCCAAAATGTGTCTATGTTATGGGTGACATGAGTGCAGACATCTCAGATTAAAACTAATTATTTGCTAAACACCGTTTCATTTTTGTACAGATTCTATATTATTATAAATTGTTTTTTTTTTATTATTATATAATTATTTCTATTATATATTTATATCGTCAAGTAAAGAACTTTTACCAGCTGCAGGTTACACTTATATCAGAGAAATCTACCTTTAACTTATCAAGAGAGGCAGTTACTTGTACAAACTGTAACTGCTCTAATATTGGTCATACAACCAATATAACTGGATTATAGTCTGAGATAATTGAAGTGCTACTGGCAGCTAGCCTGCCTTATAATAAAACTAATGTAAAGAATAAAATTGGACCAGGCTTGAACACATGTGAGTCCAAATTTCACAGTGAAGCCTGCAAAGCTACTACTTCTTGGGCTCTAGCAGGTAAACCTAGGGAGGGCCCTATATTTGAACATAAAAAGCTGTCTAATGCAAAATACAAATATGCACTACACTTCATTGGACAGAATGAGCAAACCATGAGGGCTGAATCCTTTGCAAAAAGGCTTATAGGTAAGGATGCAAAAACCTTCTGGAAAGAGATTAAAACTATCAACAATAGTAAATCCTGTCTCCCTTGCACTGTCAATGGTGCTTCTGGGGTGAATATGATTGTAGATTTTTGGCAGCACCACTACAGCAAGTTATTTACCTGTGCACAGAGTGAACCCTTCCAGGTTGACAAGGTTAGTTAAGTAGAATCCATCAAAACACACAAGGTCTAGCAATAAAAGTACTGTCTGTAAACAAATCTACAGGAATGGATCTTATTGCAGCTGAACATCTCAAATTTGCAAGTCCAAGGGTAGTTCCTCTTTTTCCTTGTGCTTCACAGGTTTTATTATGCATGGTTTTATTCCTAAAACCTTGATGACTGTTCTTATACTTGCGATTAAAAACAAAGCTGGTAAAATTGGCAGCTCTGAAAACAATAGAACTATAGCCCTAGATAGTACATTGCCTAAAGTCTTTCAACTAATTCTTTTGCCAAGTTTGCAAAGATAATTATGTCTACAGACAATCAATTTAGGTTCATGTCTAGACATGGCACTGATATGTGTAAATATGGCCTAAAACAATTACTGAATTATTTTAATTATTCTAAGGTCTTTGTGGTTTTTTAGATACCACCAAGGCTTTTGATCATGTAAATCATAGAAAACTCTTTTTAAAACTGTGCCAAGCTGGTGTGCACAAACATATATAGTAAGATGTCTGTGATATTAGTATGCTAATCAAACTATGTCAAATGGGACAACTGTGTGTCTGTCTCTTTTCATGTTGGCAATGGAGTCAGACAAGGAAGCATTTTATCTCCTATGCTGTTTAATTTTTATATGAATGACCTCTCTAAGCAGCTAAACTGTAGAACGGGCTGCATGGTTGGTGATTCCATTGTTAATCATTTAATGTATGCTGATGACCTAGTAGCTTTTAGTCCAAGTTCAGCTGGTATTCAGAAGCTGCTGAATGTCTGCTTAATGTAAAATTTAACCCTTCAAAAAGCATCATCTTTTGTCAAAGTTCTCAACATCAGAAAGACGGTCTGGCAGCATATGGCCAAGATATTTTTCAAATGAAGTAAAATATCTTGGCCATATGCTGCCAGACCGTCTTTCTGATGTTGAGAACATTGACAGTGAGGTTCTAATGTTATATGCTATGGCATATATCCTTATCCGTGAGTTTGGATTCTGTTCTGATGAAGTGAAACTGAACTTGTTTAGGTCATATTGTAAATCTCTGTATTCATCACATTTGTGGTGCAACTTTGAAAAAGCAAGTCTTCAAAGATTAAAGGTGGCCTATAATGATGCATTAAGACTTTTGTCAAAGAGACCCAGATGGACCAGTGCCAGTGAACTCTGCTTGCGTCAGCACTTTGATGTCTGTTTTAAGAAAGCGTTTGTCTAAATCTATTTGTCGTTTAAATCAGTTAAATAACATAATCATCCTACTTTTGACTAATGTTAAACATAGTGCAGTAAAATACAAATCTGCACTACGGAGACATTGGTATGATTGTCTTTTGGGTGGCTAGGAGTTGCTTTTTATTGTACTTTTATTCTTCTGTCGTTTCTTTTTTTATCATATTTTTTATGTAATTTTGACTCTGAGTCAGTAATGAAATCTATCTATTGCATATGGATATTTTTACTAGTTATATCCTGCTATGGGTGAGCACAGAGAAGCTATATTTGTGCTGATAGTGTATTTTATGCTGAATCGTTATGTTTTTGGAAAAGTTAGCATTTGTTGGAGCCTTCAAATTTTGACAGCCATCGACACCATGCTGTGACACAATTAGGTCAACAAATAAAGCTTTATGTTTTCACACAGCTAAAGGTAGATACTGCATTTTAAATCCTCACTTTTTCACAACTCACTTCTGAATTTCAGGACGTGCCCCAAAAAACTCAAACACAGACAGTAGAAATAATTTAATTTAATTTATTTATTATTTCGACTTTATTTTAATGTAATATCAAAAATGTCAACATTTTTAATGTACTTCAATATAAATGATGCTGACCAGCATTACAGAGAGGAGAAATATATGCATATCCCATCATCACCTCAGTGCTTTTCATCATAATCTTTTAATTTTTTCCTCTATTTAAGTGGAATATGTTGCTTGGTTACTATAGTGTGGAAAGAGTCAGAGCAGTTTTAAAACTTTGACTTTTTATCGGCCCTGCAGTTCTTCATGGCTTATCATCCACTTATCTTCTCCGACTGCAGCTTCCCAGCTTTATCCGACCCGTCACCAGTCCAAAGCTGCCTCTCACAGTCTCTCCCTCCCTCCTCTCTTCCCCCCAAAACCCTTTCTCACTTTATACCCCATCTCCTCTCCATTCTTATCTCCTCCTCCTTGATTATCTGCCCCTCTTCGATTCCCTCTTTATCTCTTCTTCCCGTCGTGCTTGTGTTATGACCACCCTGATTCTTCTTCTGCCCCCCCCAGCCCACTCCATGCGATAACAGGCCCAGGCGGCGTGATGGATTTCTGGAAGGCCAGAAACTGTTTGCTCCGAGGCCGCTGCACCTCCGGAGAATGCTGGATAAGCAGGTCAGTTGAAGTGGAGAAAACAGCTGACAGAAGCAACGAGCAATGAGGGGGAGACAAAGTTTGGCCACCCAGCAATAAATGCATCTCTTATTTTTATGCTTGCAGGATGGGGGCTTATTGAAGAATAAGCCATTTTCAAGTAAAAAGCTTAGAATAAAGAAAAGAAAAGATGGTTTGATCCAAGGAATAACCTAACCTGACAAGTATGATGAACGAGTAGGAATATCCCTTGGAGGCACTGTTGCAGAGAGTTTCCACACATATGATAGATAAAAAGTCATGCATAAAAATCGATGACGTAGGTTTACAGCAGCAGGTCTGATTGGAAAGAAAAGGAATAAAACAGCAGGAGGGATATACGTACAAAATATAATAGTGGCTAAAGAAGATTGTTATAATCATGTTTATCCAGGATGAATTCATAAGAGGGTGCATGTCAGGACATAAAGTTTCTATAGCCACCCCTGGATGTTGTCTACAAAGCTTCTTCTTCAGAAATCACCAAGAACACTCATGTCGCTGCAGGCCGAGGATAACAAAAATCCACCCTCTAATACCCTCTCTCCTCCTCCTCTGTCATCTCTCTGCCTCTGTTTTCAAAGACAAAAACATCTGCAGGCAGCAAACTGTCCGCTGACATCTGAAATTATGTGTCACATATGAAGACTTTTCTCTAAAGACTCCAAATGTGCTACAGACATTTTGAAACTTTCATAGCGTTCTGCAGCTGCAGAGGTGACATAAAGAGAATTACTGAGTTGATTTGAGATGGAGAGGACAAATAATTTATGGCGAGGCATAACGTTTGGTCTGACAGCTAATAAAAGCTATAAAACAAAGGACTGAAACATATTAGTTTCCAAATTATAGGTCATTGCAACAACTTTTTCATAAAAACATCATCATTTAGAAAAACAATACACCCATAGAACATCCTGAGTGATTTTATTTTTTTTTTTAGAATGGATGAAGCCTTATGATATAGATTTGCAAAGCTCTACCTGTATAAACCACAAGACCTTTAGACAGCATTGGACCTAGTAGAGATATTCCAATTGTCAAACATCGTGGTGGCTAAGTGATAATTTGTGCAGGTATGGAAACCTTACAGTTTTATATACCAAAGTATTATACCATATTAGGTCAGGTCTAACAGCGGATGCTTGGCCCAAACTGAATCATCAACAGAACAAAGATCCAAAACAAAACAACACAGCAACATTGAAATTAAACAACTGCCATGTTTTCACTATTTACAACATATACAGATATTGCCTTGCTGTATTATTAAAATTGAAGAACTCTTTGCAGTGTTGTCACTTTTGCATTACATGAATAAGGACTACCTTAATCTCAAAAGATAGGCTGTATTTTTTTTAAAACATTTCCAGAAAATACTTTGAAATGTAAGCTGTCTTTATGAGATCATCATTACATTTGATCATGTAAAACTAAGTTTCAGGGACTGTAACTAAATATAAAAGTTGCCATCCATCCATCCATCCATCCATCCATCCATCCATCCATCCATCCATCCATCCATCCATCCATCCATCCATCCATCCATCCATCCATCCATCCATCCTTGTAAATGAGGAGATGTCCATGGCTCTTAGATCAAGGATACTTCTCTCATTCCATTTCCAAATCTTTGCCACATGCATATTGAAATTGAAATGTTATCCTGACAGAAGGAACTCTCCTAATTAGATAAAGTACTTGGGGAAATATTAGCTGTGACACGCAACAGGCAGGTATTATTAGGGTTTAACAGACTCAAACATCATAATCCTAACAAATCCATCCATCTTCTTCCGCTTATCCATCAGAGTCACACTCACTTATTTTACCCAAAGGAAAAAGGTCAGTTAAATTGTGAATAAAAAGCCAAGCCTATTGTTTGTCTCATAGAAAGCTCTCTGGTCTGGCTGGTTTATCTTCTTAAACAAGGAGTCTATACTTTATACATTTAGCAGCCTAGTCACAAAAAATATTTATTGTTAAAGCAATCAACCTTAAAAGCAACAGCTAGTCATTTAGACACACCTATCATTCACATGTTTTAATGGTTTGATCACTTTTGTGATTGATGTTTATAAATGTTGAAGCTTTTCCTGTTTTCTCAATGTAGTCCTGGTTCTCTGACTCTAAATAACTGAATGTGCTCTCTTTCATCCAGATGTTGCTTGGGAGATGGCGCGGTGCTCGTTTGCCTTGCTGTGTTTTCTAGACGGGGTCACCTGTGGAGCTGGTTGACAGTTGCCTTTTATATCTCTGCCTCTATGTCTATGTGACCGCTCTCACTAAGCCTGGTTCTGCTGGGAGTTTCTTACTGTTAAAAGGAAGTTTTTCCTCTCCACAGTTGCTACAAGCATGCTTAGTGTGAGGGATTGCCTTCTAGTCAATGAGTTGATGCAATCAACTGGTTTTCTTCAGATAGAAAACTTTGAACCAATCTGACTGTATGATCTGGTTGAATTGTCTCTGTAAAGTGCGTTGAGATGACTTGTGTTGTGAATTTGCGCTATATAAATAAACTAAATTGAATTGAATCACTTGAGTGATCAAACTATTGGGTGGATTCAAATAAAGGCGGGAATATCCTAAGTTATTTAACACATCTACATGTAAATAGTAGAAATGGAAGCAAATATTTAAAGCTCTTCTCTCATCCAAACTAAATGTCTTCAGTGTATAGCATAAAGAAAGGAAATGGCTTTGCATAAAGTCAGGCTATGAAGGTAGACCCCAACATACACATCTATCTTTCTTAACATATTTGATTTCTTTTCCCCCCACAATGACCTTTTACTACTTTTCTAAAGATAGATCTGCTACCTGTGCAGGATGGGTGGATTGTTGAATTGCAAACAGAAGTTGAAAGCATGTGCAGATAAAAAAAAAAAATAGATGGATTTAGGCACAGATGTGAGAATTGATGGATAGAGACACCACTTGCTAATGTCACTGGCCAGAATTCAATGTCCAACCCTTCCAATTAACCCCATCTGCCCCATTTCATGGTCTGTACCAAGGACCCTTTCAAATAATTTGATGATAAGATTTGTGGAGGTAGCAAGTGATGATAAGCTACAGGGGATTGTAAACGATTGTAGTATCATCATCTATTCTATCCTTTAATCTTTAAAAATAATCACTTTCTAAAAGAAGAGTTTTATTCCTCCCTAAGTCATTTATATAATGAAAAAAATGTTTTGTGACAGCAGTGAAATAAAAGAACAAATTCTTTTGACACACTTCTACATGCTTGCGTTGGATGTGGAGTTTATTTGACAAAGATGCAAAGTGCCTAAAAGTTGTTTTTAATTAATGAAATGTGAGATGTGTGCTGTGACAGACTGAGTGACCCAAAGGGGGATTCTCGGGCCGCCTACAGCTGAAGTTAAAATATGCTCCAACTCTTTTCCTACCCCTCAGGAAAACAACTTGCATATGTCTGTAACTGATTTCGGGCTGAAATGCTCAGAGTCAGGCCTCCACTATGAGTCAAACCAAAGCTGTAACTGTTCAGAGAATCAGTTTGAACAGGGAGGAGGGCGAGCCGCAGGAGTCAACGGGCTAGTCAGACAAAATTAAGAGCTCTGCAGTTCTGACAGTGTGTGCCTCAAAGCCTTAACAATCATCCTCTGCCCAAGATGTCAAGCAGCTCTGGACTACATAAAAAAAACCATAGCAATTTAGAGTCAAATCATACAAAAATACCTCTTATCTCCAATTCTGACAAGAAACATGGTTTTCAAAAAAGAACTGAGGCGCAGATTTTAATAAAGTTTAATAACTTATAGAAACAAGCTGCTGCTCTATCGCAAAGGCTGCTCTCTTTGCCAAAGAAAACAGATTTCTGTATTTATAATCAGCAATAACTTCTCCCTAATATCAGTTTTAATGTAGAAGATAACATCATGGCTCCCGTGGCTCTAAACAAAGCATTTTATTAAATCTAAGATAGAATGACTCAGTTTAATGTGAGGTACGTTTGTTTTTCACATCTTTAGATAATATTTTATTAGTAAACAAACATGGAGCTTCTGTGGTCCTGCATATAAAATAATAGGCCAATAAGAAGACATACTTATCTACTTACAAAGTAAACCAGATTCACCTTTTAGGCCTCAGAGTTTTTCAATTTACTTTGAAACCTCAGTTATCTTTTGTTTACCTGACACCTCTTGGTTTGACCGGTGATCTACATGGTTTTAAGAATATAAAACATACAGGAACTTTCTGTTTTAAAGCAGAGAACTTGTTGAAAACTTGCTCTAGTCTCTAGTAAACAGATTTTAAATGTTTACATTTGTGAAAGAAATAAGCCAAGCTAATGTGGGATAAATGTGCAAGGAAAAAAAGCAGAAATATGGCAAACATGCCATTTTATTGTGGCTTTAGAGTTAAGTGCAAATAAAATTCATTTTTTTATACAGTAAAAGTAATGGATAAGAAGCTGTATCCTCCAGCAGTTGATAATCATGCTCTCTCTCTGGCATGAGCTGACTAAGTAGGGGATTTTGGGATGCCGTCAAGCAGACGGACTCTGGACACACAAACAAGCTCACATGTTCATAAACAATAATACTGAAAATCAAATAGACCACCAGCTCATTGTTTTTCACATCATGCTACATTTCCATAAACATATATTTCTTCCAAGCATACCTTATGTTTTCTGTAAGTCTGTCTAATTTTTCTTCTTTGTCTTCCAATTTTTCTCTAAAGGTGTTTAATTTATTTGAAAGTGTCTTCTAAAGATTTTCAACAATTTGTTTTTCACTGTTTCTGTGTAAATCTTTCCATTACTTTGCCAATTTGTGTATTTATTTAGATGTTATTTTCTCTATTCGTCTATCCATTTATTCAACTATCAATTTCTAAGGTTTTTTAAATGACCGCATCCAGGTAAAGACATTTGGTCCACTTCTTTGCTCTGGTCTTATTTTGCGTTTTGTTTTGTACTGTTCACTTTCACACATTTTTCCTTCTTTTTTTTAACTGAACCATTAGCTGTAAACAAATGAGGACTATTCCTACTATTGGACAAAACTGAATATGGCAGACTACATGTTATAAAGTTACATAATAGAGTTGAGTACGTTTTAATGCTTCTTGGTAGAGAAATAAAACTCTGGGGATTTAATGTGGAATTTTTTTTTCTGGAGTTTTTTTTTTAGGGCATTCTATAAACAGCCAAATGAGACTGACATCATGTGAAAAACTGTAAATAAAACAAAGTGACAGACGCTTCGGGTCTGTCTACTGATTGGTTGTTCTGGATTGAGCGGCCTGCACGGTCAGTGATAAAAAAAGAGATCTTTGTATTTGAGGTAGATTGTTTTTTTCAAGGAAAAAAACATCAAAAACAAACAAACAAAAAAAACAAACAGAAGAGAACTGAATAAAACTGCTTTTAGGCTCCAGATTTTTCGGGATACGTGAATGGCATGATTTTACAACTGATGTTTGGGCAGCAAACTCCAACTCAGATACACTGAGATTGCTTTTCAGGTTTCAGCCTCTTCCCTCCTCCTTCTCCTCATTTAGTCCATGCCTGCGGGGACGGATGAGGTTTTAAGGGGCCACATCACAGAGTAATGAGATCCCGGTTCGAAAATGGCTTCCACAAACTTGGATTCACCTCAATGATCCCCATCCACCACGAGCTAGAGAACCCGTGTCTGTCATTTGTGAGGTTCAGACCAGGTGAGTCAATGCTCTCTCATTTCAGTGGAGAAAGTGGAAATGAGCCATAAGATACGGGCTTCACATGACATCACACTAACCTAAATGTTTCATTCTCCGTTCAGCCTCTAGGACACAGTCAGGGTAAATGTTGGGATGAGTCAAGGTCACCTGAGGCGACAATCCACACCACAGAACCGTGACTCATATGGAGGTTTTGCTGACGAGAACAAACTAATTGGCTGAACAAGATTGTCCTCCATAAAACAAGCTGTTGTGTAACAGATGAGACTTGAGGAGACTTGATTTGGAGTTTCATGGGTTGTTTTTGCTTTTTCTGTTTGCACCACAGCTGCTAATAGAACTCAGAAGGAGAAGCTGAAGCTCATGACTTCAAGTCAGCCAGTCACCTCAACCACCTACACGTCTTCATCGGGTAAATTCTTGACATCTCAAGAAAAACCAATAAGCCCGTTCATCATTAGGTATGTCCAGGGATAAAAGCAGTTTTAAATTCTTCTGTCTTCAATACTTAAAAGATAAACAACAAACCCAAACATATTAACTTATTTGATCAGTCTGTTATTTATTTTACTATTGGACTCAATACCATCTATTTGCATTTATTTTTCTTATGTTTCTAGGATCATATTTCAAATTAGAAGTATAAAGGAGTTTAACATTAAAGTAGCTCACCATCATGCTTGAACTGTTAACCTGTCAGGCATTACGTCTGGTTCACATTGCAAGATAATTATTATGATTTTTGATCTCCTTTCCAGAGGCCCTAATCATCTCCATGGCTTTTAAGATAATCTTATAAAATGTTCCCATCATGTGATAGGAGCGGTTTATTCTGCTATGAGAGTGCAAATTGTGTACTGTGATGTGTAGCCAATCAGAAAGAGTTTCCAGAAGAAAAATAAAAAAACTCAAAACATTTAGCACGTATCTTAATTTCTTCTTCCTGGTTGACTATATTTATATAGTCTGAAATTGCGTTTGATCTCAAAAGGATTCTTGAGATTGCCTGTCTGACATTTTAATGTTCTTGAGTGAAATTTTTTCTTGTGTGGTGAACTGTACTTTCTACGTGGCTGTGGACATGTAGGGCCAAACCTATTTTATCTAGGGTTCTTTGGAGTTGAAAATCACCTGACAACTTCAAAATCTTGCAGTGTGAACCAGAAATAAAGTGTTTTAGAGGCAACTTTATCTTTAAAATACACAACTGAAATGTTTATAGCTCAATAGCTGTTATGTCTAAATGCAGGTGTTTAGTACCGATGCTAAGGTAGGACATAAGCAAGTACTGTTTCAAAGAAACCACTATTGCAAGTAGTATTCTGATTTATTTTTTGTCAAGCAAAGACACTTAAAATTTTCTGAGCATCTCCCACATATTATTAAACTAATCTATGAAAACCAACATTAAAAGCCTTTCTGAAAACCCAGAAAAAGCTTTGGATTTTAAAAATCAGCATCTCGACCATAACTGCAGTAAATTAGGAGTGAATCAATTGAAGCATCATTTATTCCACAAAAGATTTATTGGGAAGTGAGCCAGTTGGAGCTGTCATTTTGACACGATTTCACAAAGATTTAGCAAATGCATTTTTCACTTCATAAAAAAAAAAATCTGATCAAATAAGATTTGCCCCAGAGGATAATTTTGCTGCTCAGTGCTTGCTCTTCTATAGCTAATGAGACATATTTTAGTTTCTCATGTCAGCCTCATTTAGTTTCTATTTTTTTTCAAAAGTTTCTCCAGTGTTTCTTTTAAAATTCACCAGGAAAAATAAGGGAGTACAGGTGTCATTGTTGAGATTTAAAGGGGAAAGTTGGCAAAACTTGAATTTACACATTCACACCCATTCATACACAATCTTGTCCCTCACACACTTACATGCCATCATGGCAACCCAAACTGTAACCAAAAAACTGTTTCTGATTATCTATTTTTACAGACTTTATAAGCTCAGAACAGAAGGATCCAGTAATTTGAGGCGATAAAATGGTTAGATTTCTCAAAGTTTTATTAACAGGAACGGACAGTCTGAACACAAGTACGCTAGGGTCAGTCTCACCACATGGCTCGAAATAATCTGGCACCTATGACTGGTGTGAAGGCTGGATAAATAGAGGCCAATGCAGGTGGATCAGATAAATGGGTGATGAGGACTGGGCGGAGCTAGGCAGGTGTGGGAAATGAGTGATCAGGCCAGGCGTCATGATGCAAATTGCAAAACATGGGGTTTGATTTTGTATAGTACTAATATGGTTGGGATCAGCAGGTTAAAACTAAAAGCAGTGTCTCCTTTTGCAGGTATTTCTTTTGCTTTTAAATCCCAATAGCTTGTGATAACTTATTGGAACTGATTAGGCTGAAATGTAGGAGGGACACTTTTTCCTTGCGGTTGATCACCATCTATGTGGTTCATATGGGTGGACTCTATGCAGAGCTTTTAAAAGGGATCCAGGTCTGCATCAGGGATCAAAACACACCAGATAGAAAAAAACAAAAAGCCACAGTTTGGGAACACAATTCCTTATATTTTTTCCTTTGCAAAGCAGCAGATAAATTTATTCATGTTGCATAATTGCAAAAGGCTGTCTCTGGGAATATATCACCCAAACCAAAACATCTTCAGACATGTTTAAAAAAGGAGAAGTTCCCCAAATTTACCCTCTTTCCAGAACTCCACACTTCCACTGAAATTTTAAGCTCCTAAGGGCAAACAAGTGAGGTAATGAAGCGCAACAACGATGGCTCAGCTTCCCTCGGCTCCTAACATCCCTGGAGCCTCACATTTAGCCGCCTAACTGCAAATGGAAAGTGGGCTAACTGCAAATTGAATGTCGCCTGGAAGAGGCAACCAATGTGAGAGACTGAAGCAGGTAGTTCCTAGAAAAAAGGAGGTAAAAAAAAGATGACGGGACAGTGTGACAGCGCAGGATGTCTGCAGAGGCCCGTATGTCTGAAGTTTTCAGAATTTCATCAAACCATATCAGAAAAGGTTCATATTTTCCTAGTCCCAAATACACACCAAGTTCTCACCTGTAAACATGTGTTAGACCACTGACAGACAATAAAGCAGATACATCAAGCAACTGATTATCTTTTGCCAAGGTTACAAATGCAAGAACACAGCAGACTGTGAGCGAGTGTTAAATGTGTGATCCAGCAAATACCAAAACTGCCAAAAGCAAAAGTAAATACCAATCCCTCCCTTCATTCCTAAATCAAACTGCCTACCTTTCTGTTTGCAGCAGGCTTTGGTCCCCATGGGGCTTACTGGTCTTTAGAACGTGAGTAAATGTGATGGAAAAACAGGTAAATATAGGTAAAAAACATAAACACACTTTCGGAATGTAACTATTTCGATTAATCAAATCAGTGAAATACAATAAAATTTGGTCTGTACCTTGTACTTTTAAGGTAGATTACATACTAGTTACCCAGGATTTTTTATTTTTTTTATTTAATTAGCATTATTTCAGGGGACTTCAAAGTGCTTTACACCCATTTCAGTCATTCATCCATTCACATACTGATGGTGAGCTATATTGTAGCCACAGCTCCCATTAAGCTCGCTGGAAGCAGCGAGGCTGTTTTACACAAGCGACGCTGCTCCCTTTGACCACCATCAGTAGACAATGGTGGTGAAGTGTCTTCACAAAGGCACAACCCTCCAATCACAGGACGAATTATTAGCTAAAGCTAGACGAGTTTGTATAAGAAAGAAAGATTTTGATTTGGTGGAGATGATTCCCTACATAGAACCCTAAAGACAGCAGCTGATATTTATTAATCTGTTTGTATGTTTTTCAATTTGAAACCAACAATGAAAATATCAGAACTTTTTTTTTTTCAAATATTGTTTTATAAAATAACAAAATGTTTGACCGTTCCTTTTTTTTGATTCAACATTTTCCCTTTACTTTAAATATAAAGAAAATGGCTAATAAGATAATATGAATTAGTTTTCTAACTTTCTTTGGTTTCTGAGGAAGCAATTGTTTTATGAGGCACACATAGCATATAAAAGACAACAGGAATATTACAATAGTGCTCAATTTATATATAACATTTAACAGCAGCTTAGAAAGTTCAGTTGAAGTTTTTCTTCCATTTATTCAGAAATCATAGCAACTCTTAAAATGATAAATTTTTATTACTGAAAGGGTTGATAAGTGATTTGGGACTGAAAAGTAGATCATGCAGCAAAAAAGATGTCTCCAGCGTTTACCATACATTAAATACGTATTTAATTTACTGTAGTGTGGCAATAACAGATTAAAAGAGGGAACAGTTCCCCACTTTTCTATAACATTTATGAAAGATTGTTAAAACAAAATATGCTGATGAAAACCAATTCACTCCTCATCTAAATAGTGACTACACATTCGAGACAAATCAAATAAAACTTGTTGTTTGGTTCTCCATTTCCCTTCCAAAAATAGAGCAATGTATGGAAGAGATGCACACAGGCTCATTATGGTTGGATATTTGAATAAATCTTAGTTCACACTATTACCTATGCTGTTTTTTTTTTATTTATTTTGTTCGATGAGAACTGATAAGCATTTTAAAATGATTACTGCATGCTTTTGTCCATTTAAGTTCCCTCTAAAGGTTTGACTCAATGTTTTTAGACCAAAATTTGGAGCAGTTCTAATTTTCTGCAAACCTGTTACACCTAAAGAACAATAAAAGCTATAAGCTTACAGATAGGTTTGGTATTTCATTTAGGGAAATAATTGCATACAAATTGTGATAAATTCATGCAGAGAAAAACATCCAGTAAAAAGCGAACAAAAATATTGCTAGACAACCACCCCTGAATAAAATTGCTGAGCAAATATAACATTAAAGCTAGCCTGGGTGCCAGTCCGAACTTAGTCCCGCCCACAAGGTTTGAGTTCGGGGATGTTCGGTCTGGCTCTGCTCCATAGTAGCGCGAGTATTAAAGCCCACTGTCAGGCGATCCAATCAAATTGTCAGGGCGGGCTTTATACGATGATGGACAGATGATCAAGAGTAACGTTATCAACCACGTGACCAATGCGCGCTTGGGTGACAACAATAATGGCTGCCGCTGGAGAGTTTGGGTGAGTAGACTCTGCTATTAGGTCTATTCTAGAAGATATCGACAGCAAATTAATTTTAAAAGAGGAACAGAGAAACGCGATCAAGTCTCATCTTCTTATTCTAGGTGTGAAACTGCACGCTTTGATTTTTGTCGACAACAACTATGCCTCGCTTAAGATACGTCACGCACTCCGTTGCTCTTATTGGTTGTAGGTCTATCCAATTGAGTGCAGAGGCATTTTTTTTCCTGGTTCGTTCAAAACACGCCCCATAATCACAGCTCTATGGAGCAGTATCAGACTCATATTCTGACTAGAATTGAGTCGGACTACGTCAGGCTACATTAAAGCAAGACTGAGTCCAAAATATATGAAGACGGAAAATCAGGATCCTAAAGCTTTTATACTAAACGCCCTTTTTTTTTTCTGGTGCCAACCTCCCAACAAGCTGAGAGGAAATAACAGGGACTGAATCCGTTTTATCAACAACAAGCACATTTAATTCTAGTCAAGGTATAAAAGAAAAGCAGAAAGCTTCACAGATACACAGACGAAGCAGCAGGAGTCGAGTAATCCTAAACCTACATAGTGACAGCACTCTGAATGAGAGCGTTGATCTGGATTAATTTGGAATTCCAAGCGTCAACTTTATAGCTGCACAGATAAACA